TTCTAAGGTACTGGGGTTTAGGACTTCAACATATAAGTTTGGGGGGGCACAAGCCAAACCAAAAGAGTTGTTAAATGATTATAACACCTTCAAAAGGAGGCCTGGGGAGGGGCTGCTTTGTTTTATAGAGAAAAGCAAATGTTCATAATGTGTGGAGCGGCTTCTGCCTTTCTAAGTTTTTGACTCCAGTGATACAGGGTGAACGTGTTAGCTGCTCAGTCGTGTCCGACTCTTTGCAACCCCACGGACTGTAGCCCACCAGGCTCCCCTGTCCATGGAATTCTCCAGGCAAGAAACTGGAGTGGGTTGCCACTCCCTTCTCCAGGTGATCTTCCGGACCCAGGGATTGAACTCTGGTATCCTGCATTGGTAGGTGGGTTCATCACAAGCACCACCTGGGAAGTCCTCAGAACATATAGTTAAGTGAACAAAAACAAGTAATGCTTGCTTTATAATACACGAAAGTATATTACCATTTGGAAAAAGGGGGGTGGGTGGGTAGGTATGTATGTTAAAAAAAAAATTCTTGGAAGAATGAAAAAAAAAAAGAGGGAGTCCTAAAGACCCCCTTTAATGCTAAAGATAGTGTGACTAAAATGTGAGGTCCTGACCTCTGCAAGTGGGAGCAAAGGGACCAGCACCCTGGCCTGTCCCTCCACCCAGTTCAGGTGAGTGTGAGGAGGAAGCTGCGGGACTGTCTGTCCTGTATAGCACCCAAGACGGGTGCTTCAAAGAGATTTTCTCCTTTTAATTGTTTACAGTTTCGCTTTGAGATAGGTCTTTTTATTACCCTCATTCATAGATAAGGAAAGGAGAGCCAAGAGCAGTTAAGCAACTTGATCAAACCCATAAAGCAAGTTGCCAAGAATAGGGCTGTACACCCTGGCCTCGGGATCCCAGCCACTGCCTCCCTCTCTGGTTGGATGCCGGCTGAAGCTCCTGGGCCCTGGCCACAGGGAGGTCACGCTTCCTTAGGGACCTGGTTTCTGCCTCCTCCTTCACACCCTCCCAGAGTGGGCCACCAGGCCCAGCTGCAAGGGAGGGGGCTTCTCCCAGCCTCCCGTCTCCTCTTCTGCCTGGGGATGGAGTGCCTCTAAGCCACTGGTTTTCAATGTAATTGTGTATGAAAATTGCTTGAGGAGCTTTCAAAATGACTGATGCTCAGGTCCTATCCTTAGAGATTTAATTTGTATGGGTTGCAGCCGAGGCATGGGGATTTTAGAAACCCCCCAGGTAATCGAATTGCTGGAGATGTGAGTTTGATCCCAGGGTTGAGAAGATGCGCTGGATAGGAAATGGCAACCCACTCCAGCATTCTGGCCTGGAAAATTTCATGAACAGAGAAGCCTAGTGGGCTACAGTCCATGGGGTTGCAGTCAGACATGACTGAGCAATTAAGCATGCGCGCGCGCGCACACACACACACACACACACACAGGTAATCCTAACGTGCAGCCGTTTGAGAAGCAGAGCTTTGAGCTCCTGCTGTTTTCACGCGTACTCAGGTCAGAGATCATAGGCATCACCTCGGTGTTAGAACTGCATGCTCTCTGGCCCCGCCCAGACATACTGAATCAGAAATTTGTGTGAACAGACAGTGAAGGGAAGGGTGTCCATGACTTCACAAGCCTTCCTCATGATTCTCTGTGCCCCAAAGCTTGAGAACCACTGCCTGGTGCAGCAAGCCAGAGACAGACCCTCCGGTGCTGTGGTTTGCGTCATGAACTGTCACAAAATTGCAGTGTTATCACCAAGGAAGATTAAGTTGATGGTCCCGGGCAATGAGACTGCCCAGGCCTTTCCCCAAGGATAAAACTTCAAGGCCTGTGAGAATGTGTTTCACTGTGATTTGGAATCGACTGGAGGAGAATTGGCTCCATGCTTCTCTCTTGGCTTCTCCAGGCTGCAGGCAATCCTTGGGGCTCCTTGGTTTGTAGACCAACTGCTCCAGTCTCTGCCTCTGTCCTCACATGACCTTCCCCTCTGTGTCTCGATTTTCCCTCTCCCTTCTCTTATTAGGACAGTCCCTGGATTTAGGGCCCACCCTAAATTTGTTGTGTGGATCACAACAAACTGTGGAAAATTCTTAAAGAGTTGGGAATACCAGACCACCTTACCTGCTTCCTGAGAAATCTATGCAGATCAAGAAGCAAGTTAGAACTGAACATGGAGCAATGGACTGGTTCCAAATTGGGAAAGGAGTTTGTCAAGGTTGTATATTGTCACCCTGCTTATTTAATTTATATGCAGAGTACATTATGCAAATTGCCAGGCTGGATGAAGCACAAGCTGGAATCAAGATTGCTGGGAGAAATATCAATAACCATATTTAGCTTCATATTCATATTTAGCTTCAGCATCACTTCACGGCAAATAGATGGGGAAACAATGGAAACAGTGGCAGACTTTATTTTCTTGGGCTCCAAAATCACTGCAGATGGTGACTGCCATGAAATTAAAAGACGCTTGTTCCTTGGAAGAAAAGCTATGACCAACCTAAACAGCATATCAAAAAGCAGAGACATTACGTTGCTGACAAAGGTCCGTCTTGTCAAAGCTATCGTTTTTCCAGTAGTCATGTATAAATGTGAGAGTTGGACCATAAAGAAGGCTGAGTGCCGAATAATTGATGCTTTTGAACTGTAGTGTTGGAGAAGACTCTTGAGAGTCCCTTGGACAGCATGGAGATCAAACCAGTCAATCCTAAAGGAAAGCAGTCTTGAATATTCATTCGAAGGGCTGAAGCTGAAGCTCTAGTACTTTGGCTAGCTTCTGTGAAGAACTGACTTGTTGGAAAAGACCCTGATGATGAGAAAGATTGAAGGCAGGAGGAGAAGGGGACGACAGAGGATGAAATGGCTGGATGGCATCACTAACTCGATGGACATGAGTTTGAGCAAGCTCTGGGAGTTGGTGATGGACAGGGAAACCTGGCGTGCTGCAGTCCATGGGGTCACAGAGTTGGACACGACTGAGCTGCTGAACTGAACTGACTGAATCTAGGATGATCTTATCTCAAGACTTTCCACTCACTCACACCTGCTAAGGTTCTATTTCCAAATAGGGTCACCCTCACAGGTGGTGGGGGAGGGGTTTAGGGTTGAGTGTACCTTTGGGGGGCCTGCCATTCAACCCACTGCAAATGGGAAACAAACTCCACTTTCTCACAGCAGCCCTCTCTAATGCTGATTCAGGGCAGAGGGGTGACCTGAGGAACCTGCTTCTTTCGGGGCAAACACAATGGGCCTGGAATTCAGCACTGAAGATGGTCTTCATAGAGTTCTCCATCAAGGTGCTTTCCTGAAAGCTCACTGAAGTGTGCGGCAGAGTTGAGCTCTCTCTGTGCTACTGAAATGATATAAAAGGAGAAACTGAGGCTTAAGGAGGGCTTCCCAGGTGGTGCTAGTGGTTAAGAACTGGCCTGTCAATGCAAGAGACATAAGAGACGTGGGTTCGATCCTTGGGTCAAGAAGATCCCCTGGAGAAGGGCAGGGCAACCCACTCTAGTATTCTTTCCTGGAGAATCCCATGGACAGAGCAGTCTTGTGGGCTACAGTCCCTGGGGTCCTTAAGAGTCGGACACAACTGAGGGAGGTTGACTTGCTCAAGCTCCCAGAGTTAAGGGAGCTTAACTCCCTCTAACTCCCTCCTCCCCGTCTAACTGTGCTGCCCGTTCTGTTGCTATCAGCTGCTTTCAGGAGTCATGACTTAGCCTGACTGTCTTCAAGAAAGTAGGGGGCTGGGGATCTCTCACCTGGGACCAGTGGTATAATCATGTTGCCAGCCAGCTGGTCACCGAGAGCTCCTGGGGATGATGGTCTGGTCACTTCTTTCTGAGTTTCCCATGACCTCTTTCAGTGCCACTTCTACACACACAGAGCGCCTTGTGCCTGCCAGACACTTGGCCTCTGGGAGGAACTCAGTAAATGTGAATAGAATGGTTTTTTTGTTTGCTTGTTTTTGGCCCCAGCTCAGCAGGAAACCCATTTGATATACATAGTCAAATAAAATATATCTATTTCTGGGACTTAACAATCCAGGGGACCCACAGACACACTTCAATGTACTGTCAGAGTAGAAACAGTGGGTTCCGACACCAATCTCCTTGCTCTTGTCAACTCAAAACTGTGAAATGCTGTGAGCAAGCAGCCGGGAGACTGGTGTGGGTGCCGTCACGTCCAGGTGGCTCTGTGGGGCCCAGTCAGTGACATGAGCTTGCTTTCATCTTTAGGGTCGTCATCACTGAGCCCAGGGCCCAGGTTGTTTGCTCACCTCAGTAACAGCTGCTGCAGCTTCTAGAAATTCAGTCACGTGAGGCTTGAATGACCCGTCTCCCTTCCCAGCACTCCTGCCTCCCTGTTCCCTGTTGCCAGCTCTCAGCCCTTGGGATTCTAGCTACCAGTCTGACTATCCCACCATCACGTCAAACCAAAATTTAAAAAATCAACCTGCCTTCCCCTGTCAGAATAGTTGCCCTTGCTAACCTTTCCCGTCTGCTTAATGGTACCACCTGGAAAGCTGATGTCACTGCGTGGCCCTCGCCTTTCCGCTCTTCTCTACAGGCGACCATGTGGGGAGATGAGGAAGGGAACCAACAGTTTTGAGCACTCACCACACTGAGACGGACCAGGGGCTGATGCTAACTCACTCATCTTCTCAATAATCCCGGGAGGTGAGGGCAGGGCGACTGTCCTAATGTCAGAAGTGAAAAACCAAGGCTCAGAATGATCGAGGTCTTGGGGCCGTGCAGCTGTGAGGTGGGGTCGGGACCCCGCCCGTGATCTCTGCACCTGGCAGTGACGCTCAGCCTGACGTGCGCGTCCCTCGGTGATTCCCTAACTGCTGCTTCTCTCGCGCTTCGCTAGCGCTGCCTCGCCCAGGCCTCCACCGCCTCCCTCCTCAGCAGCGCTAGCGGCTTCCCAGCTCTTCAGTGCTTCTGCTCTTTCCTGCTGCAATCTGCCCGCGTCCAACACTTTCTATTTCTTTTATGTCTCCCACAGTGCTGGCCCAGGACTGGACACGGGGTAGACCCTCGGCACATCTTGTCAGCGGAAGGACAAGGGCCTGGCGCCTTGGGAGATTAACTATCTAGCATCTAAGCAAGAGTTTCGATTAGGCTAGGCATCATCTGATTTGCTGCCTTCCAAGGATGGCAGGTACAGACAGTTAGGAGTGTGGTTGACTTGTTACCATCCTTAGTGATGAAGGATGAGGATGGAACATACGCGGGAAGTTCATAGCTAAGCGACAGTTACTTCTTAGGGCCCTTAGCGTCATCTCCTCCACTGACAAATCTGTAGCCAGTCTGTTTCTCTACCGCTGCACAGCTTCAAGGGAAGTCAGACAGTCCCAGGGTATTCTTTACCTACACACCAGGAGCCACAAGTCCAAGGAACTGCTAGATTCTCGGTGACTTGGATGAAGAAAGGCAAAGTAACTTTAGCTTAATCTGACCCAGGAAGGTCTGATACACATTTCATGCAAATCAAAACCTTAATGAGGCATTACTTCACACACTAGAGCATTAAGGACCAGAAGAGTCAGCTCCATATGTAATCTTGGAACAGCAACGTGATGAAAAGTATATGCTCGTGATGAACGTCAAAAGAGTTCCTGGTGTCTTGGGTTTGGTACCTTGGAAGATCAAGGTGGTAGAGGATAGTGGGTAGGAGCAAGGCTCTGCAGACAAATTCCAAGATTTGGTCCTGGTGATGCCATTTATTAGCTATTTGATCTTGAATAAATTATTCTCTGGTCTTAGTTTTCTCATCGATAAAATGGAGATAATTCTAGCACCTATCTCCTAAGGTTGTAGTGATGATGAAACAAGTAAATATAGGCAAAATATACACCAAGTGCTTAACCAATGTTACTACAACCTTAAAAGCTAATCTATTTTTACAAAAATCATTATTTCTGCACAGTAAGCATTAAAAGCTTCAAACTCCTCACTGCCCCTCCCCTCTACTAGCTTCCTGAGGCAGTGAATTAAAATAATAGACTTAATCTTTGTCTCTTAAATTCAACAGAGCAGTTATTCCTAACCAGACTTGTCTATTGCAATGCAAATTAATGTAAACTATTCATTTTATCTCAAAATCACTTCAGACTCCCACAGTCATTAATTTCAAACCCAGACTTGCCTTTGTACACAATTATTAGTTCTTCTTACAGGGCTGGGAATGTAGCACTTTCATTCATTAACAAAAAGGTTTAGTAGCCCTTCTTGGTGGTGGTCGTGGTGGTAACCATGGCGGTGACTGAATGAGTCCAACAGAGCGCTGGAGTCAGTATGTTGGAAATTCCCATTTGCTGCTGCGGAAAAGTTATACCATCTCAATGGGGTTTTTAGGCTGAAAGCACGGCAGTTTCTCTACCTTGTTAACAGGATAGGGGGTTCCAGAAAGGAGGTGGCTGTGGGATCCTAAGCAAGCCTTCACCTGTCTGTGTCTTTAGATATCTCTAAAACAAACAGATTATATTAAAAGGTGCAGTGGTTCTTTCCCTTCCAAAAGGCCCTATGTAGATGTAAACCCTGTATCAGGAAGCTGGGCTCTTGTTTTAAAAACTATATTAAAATACTCCCCTCTGACCCCAGCACTGCCACCCCACACCTAAACACACAGACACAGTGAAATTATAAAACAGCATCCATTTATTAGTGCTAAGTGCCAAGTGCTGTACATACATCATGACTCTAAAGCTCACAATAAACTTCTGAGGTAGCTATTAGTTTTCAGACACCCAGAGAGGCCACGGTGAAGGCCAAAGAGGGAGCCTAGATTCTTTCCTGTAGAAGAGGAACCCGAGCCAGGCGGCCGAGGCCCTCCCAGCGCATGACCACCGTCTCTACATCTAGTTTACCGCATTCCCAAGCCTTCGCAGTCAGCCGTGGTCCTGGGACCGGGCAACTCCTGTGGGCCGCTTCCTGACGTCCCGAGTGCGTTATGGCACTGTGTCCTTGTGCTTCTGCTTTTCCAATCTCTTTTGGGTGGGCTGGTTTTATGAAGCAGTGCAACAAGCGTTCTTTTCAGGCTCTTGAGAGCCTCCAAGGCAGACAGATATTCTGTACTTTTGATTCCAAACTGCCTCCCTTCCTCTCAAAAACTCAAGGCCCTCACTGGGGAGAGAGATTCAGCTCCCCAGATTCAGCTCCCTCCTGTGGCTTTTCAGTTTGAGTCCGGTCGCTGGGCAAGGCGGCAGTGATGTGACCTCACTTTCGGTATCTGGTTTCAAAGCACATATTTTAGTCTCTGATTCTACTGCAGCTGCACATTTTCTGAGACTTTATCTTCTATCCCTGCCTTCAGAACTTGAGTCTATGCTGCCAAGCTCCCTCTCTCTCTCTCTCACATTCTCATTCATTCTCCTTCTCTTTGAAAATATTTCACAGTGGAAAATTAACACATCGGAATTAAGACGGTTCCCTGTGACAAGAGAGCAGACCCAGAAGTGAGAACCAGCGTTCTTATAACCGCAGTCATAAAGGATGTCTTTGGAACCATCCTCCTCTTCACAGGGCTGAGAGCTCCAACAGAACTCATCAGAGACTAAGACAGGCTCAGAATGAGAAACGCACAGTTATTATGAGCAGCTGCATTCATCTGAGTTCCTGGAGGGATGTGGGGAGAGACTGGCATTCATTCACTGCTCTGGAAAAGCCTGATGCCATCAGCACCCAAAGGAGCGCGTTCTGGGCGCCGTGTGGGGCATCCACCAGGCCGCTGCCCCTGCAAAGGCGGGGTCCAGGCTCTCCAGGGAGTTGGGGGCACAGGGCCTCCTTACCCCCGTCGCTGGGGCACCTAGGGGCGGGGCCCAACCTGTCAGAGGTGGGCGGGGCCACGTGGGAGGACTTCCTGAGCAGTTCCGCACACCGCCCCCCTCCCCCCACCCCTAACCTTCAGAAACAGTTCACGCGTCCTAAGTCCGCGCCCTGCCCTCGGCGTTGCAGAGGGACACGGCACCGCCAGGCACCTGCAGTCCCATCGTCGGCCCCTCAGGGATCAAAGTCCTGCCATCTGCGAAAGGAAGGCGCCGCTTTATTTCCGCGTGGTCCTTTCTTTGGGTGGGGCTTTCCCTCTGGTTTTTAACAAGAAAAAACACAGAACACTCAGCTAAATTTGAATTTCAGATAAGAAATATGTTTTGGTATAAATATGTCCCCAATACTGCAAGGGGCATGCTTATATTAAAACATTTTTTGTTATTTATCTGAAATTCAAACAGCACTGGGTGTCCTGTATTTTATCTGGCAACCATACCCCCTTACAGTCTTCCCTCCCCTAGGCCTTCCCGGGGAGTGCTTATCTTGCAATGTGCTCTCAAGCAGAAATTCCTCAGTTCTGATTCTCCTGGGATTCCTGGTGAAAAAGCAGACTTCAGGCCACATCTACTGAATATAATTTCCAGGGGTAGGACCCAGAAATAAACATTTTATCAAGGTGGTTGTCTAGGTGATTCTGACGCACATTTGTATTAGTTGTTTACTGCCTCCAAACAAATTCCCTAAAACACAGAGGCTGAAAACAACCACATTATCTCACAGTTCATATGAGACAGGAATTTGGGATTGACTTAGCTTTGTGATTCTGGCTACGCTTCTCTCATGATGCTGCAATCAGGGGGTTGGTTCAGGCTGCAAACATCTCTAAAGACTGTTCTGTTGCTGGAGAACCTGCTTCCAAGCTCAGGTCCTTTCTGGCTATTAGGTGGAAACGTAAATTCTTCAACACGTGGGCTGATGCCTTTTCCCAGAGCTAGGGATGACAGAGACAGAGACACACAGAGAGGGAGGGAGAGAGAGGGGAACTCTCCAAGACAAATCCACATTCAAGGGAAGAGAATTACACCAGATCATCCATACCGAGAGGCAGAATCACTGGAGGGCTGTCTTAAGAGGCTGTCCACCACCATATTCAAATTGGAGAATTATGATAACAATATAGTCCTCAACATACCACAACCAAAATCACATTTAAAAATTGGAAGTCAGTGTCTTCCTTTACTCACTTTTTTCCTGTTTGCATCCCTCCTCCCCATTTACCCCTTGGGGGTTTAAGACAACAACAATCAGGAAGTAAGAAAAAATGAGGAAGAAAAACAGTCAAAATGACAATCTTAGGAGACTATCAAAATTTAAAATTTTTAAATGCCTGTAAATATTGAGGAGGAGAAAATTAAACACCAATCCCACACATATATGGCTGTGTCCACCCCAAAAAACCTCAGCATTCAATGTGACTCTTGGACTTCTGGAAATATTAATATAAGGTGACCAGCTGTCCCAATTTGCCCAGGTTTTTCCCAGGTCCTGGGAACCCCTTCAGTCTCAGGCAAATCGAGATGGTTATCTTCTTAACATGGAACCGATAAGAAATCAACCACTCTGCCCTTGTCTATAGACTGAGTGGGCCTATCTTGTGATAAAGTGGACAGCGTGGGCTTTAAGCTAAAAGCCCACCAACAGGTGCCCTCAGCTGTGACTGTAAGCTATCTCACACAGAAAGCAGGCCCCATAAATCTGCTTTAGTGAAGCTTAAGTATACCGATGCCCATGGAAGTGCCTTGTAAACTGAGAGGTACTGCCTAGATGCTCTTTTCTACTCTTTTGAAGAGAAGACCCTGATCCTAATGTGAAAGGTGGGACCAAAGTCATCACCAGTTTATACTTTTGCAACCAAACGTGACATTGTCTCTTTCAATTAGGCAGATGTGCTGGCCTCCAGAAAAGTAAACACAGCCCACAAAAGCCATATGACACACCTTTAATCTTCATTTAATTTGCATTTTAATCCCCCAGATTGATTCAAACTGTTCCCTCCAGAAACTGCTACACTACTGAAAAGGACAGTCATCTCTATTGTATCCTCAATGACAAGTTTCCCAGAAAATCTGTGCAAAGTCTTGATAGGAAAGACATGATTCATTTTTTCACAGCACTGAGGGTGTGATTCCCTCCTCTCTGGAGAAAACCTGTCACCAGCAGTGCTCCTTCCCTCACCCTCCTCTTCTATCCCTCCAGGCTTGGGAGGATTTTTTTTTTTAAGTAGTGAGAAAGGCAGGAGTCTGTAAATCATGTTCAGGTGTTCAAGGCAGGAGTCTGTATATCATGTCCAAGTGTTCATTCTCTTTTTTTCTTCCGACTTTACCAGTTCTGTGCAGGCCTGCCCAGTTATATTAATATGATGCTAAATCTCAAAATCAAAATAGGAAATGCCATTTTGAACAGACGCCAGTGACTTTTGAGGAGGGCCAGTTAGCAAGATCAGCCACCACTTTTGTTTTGTCCATTCTCCTCCTTCACCCACCCCTGTACCCTGGCTGTGCGTCCCAGGCACCCAACAAAGATGCTGGACTGATGACGATGCCGAAGAAAGCCCATCTGGTCTGGCCTGTTCCCTGCCACTCTGCCACTGTATAAGATAGGAGCTCTCCTGAGTCTCAATGGGAAGAATGATGTCTGGCCCTACTGCAGCATGGGGCAATGTGCAAGGATCAAATCAGATTCATGTAAATGAAAGATGTTTAAAAATCTTAAGAGTGCCATATAAATGTAAGGGGTTAGGTTTTATTAGAGTCCTTCCTTCAGCCTGCTTCAGGTATCTGCATAGCTGAGTACTCCTGCAGTAGTATAATCTGCACTGTTTACTAGATGAGAATTTCTTCTTACTGACCTCAGCCAGCTTATCTCATAACTATAATCATCTTAACACAGCCACAAAGCTGTTGCCTTATGGCTTCTGTTTTACAGTTTTAACACTTAAGAGGCTGATTTTTGGCCCTGTGCTAAAGACCAGTCTTCAAGGTGTGTCCTTTCCTTGATATGCAAGACAGTCATACCTCAGTTTATGAAGTAGTCTTTACCTTTCCATTTTATAACATCTCTACATAAAAACAGACTGTTTAAAAAATCTGTTTTTGAAATTTTTCTAGCAAAATAAAACTGATTTTAAAAAACAGCAATTTTAAAAAACATTAAAAATGTTTAAGTTTAAGCTAAACTTAAACAAGTACCATAATTAAAGAAGGGAATATAAACACA